GCACACCGTTGTCTGTTCCCTGCAGTGAGTTCGTGAGGGCTGTCCTTTTTCTTGGTCGTCTCTAACAAAATGCTAGCATTTCTCAAAAGCTCTGTAGTGCCTGATGGGGTGGATGAATATTTTATTTAGGGATTGTGTGAACCCTTTTTTGTCTCCAGAATCCAAAAGAGTAAAACAACGTGAACTTTCAAAAGAAGAGAACAGAACTGAGACTACCAGAGGTGGGAAAGGGGGAGCGAGAGGGGAAGTTAGTGAGAAATTGGGAAAGGGGCATAAAAATGACTACATTGTATAATGTTGAATATACTAAATATCCTGATTTGAGTATCACATATTGCACACGGGTATTGATATTCAACACTCTACCCCACCGATATGTACAATCGTTTTGATACAAAAAATTAATTAATTTTTTAAAAAGGTAACGTCTCCTTTTTCATTTCTGATTTTTGTTATTTAGGTCTTCTCTCTTCTTTTTTTAGTTAGCCTAGCTAATAGTTTGTGTATTTTGTTTATCTTCTCAGAAAGCCAACTTTTTGTTTCATTGATCCTTTTTTATCATTTTTGGGGTCTCTATTTCATTTAGTTTGGCTCCGATCTTAATTATTTCTTTCCCTCTACTAATTTTGAGATTGGATTGTTCTTTTTCTAGTTCTTTGAGGTGCAGCATTAGGTTGTTCATTTAAGATTTTTCTATTCTTTTGATGTAAGCATCGGTAAAGAGCCATGAAAAACGATTACATTGCATAACATTGAATATACTAATTATCCTGATCTGAGCATCCCATATTGCACACAAGTACTGATATTCAACTCTGTACCACACAGATATGTACAATCAACTATGTTTCAATAAAAAACAATTTTTTAAAGAGTAAAATGATGTTAGAAACGCACCCTGCAAGCAGGACACCCCAAACCCAAGCTCCTTACCTCTTGGGCGAGTCGGGGTCAAAACAGGTCTTGCGCACATCAGCCACATCAGGGTCGCAGCAGTCCCCATCGTCAAAGTCATTCAGCATGTTGTTGCACTCCACATGACAGAGCCCGTCCCTGCGGTTCCAGGAGTAGCAGCGGCCCTGCAGGTGGCAGTCGCCCCCGTCATAGCCTGTGAGCGGGTGCTCACACTCGGGGTCACAGTGGTCATTGCCAATCTTGCTGGGCTCACAGTTCACAAGCACGACCCGGTAGCGCAGGGTGGAGTTGTGGACCTGGTGGACACTCAGCTGCCAGCTGATGTTGTAGCGGCTGAAGGCCTCGGTCAGCGCCTCGTGCTGCCGGTGGATCTGCTCCTCCCTCACAATGGGGTTCAGACCCTCATCATCACAGATGTTCACCACCTGGTAGCGGATCACCTTCTCTCCCCGAAGGGGCCAGTGCCCATTGTACTGGGAGATGAGTTCCACATTGTCACAAGCCGTTTGCCCACAAAGAGGGGGCTGCAAAGGTGACAGAATCTCAGGCTCTGCCTCAAAGCCCTGGAGAACCTCAAGCCGTGGGTACTTCTCATCTCTAAAGGGGGCCCACTGTTCTCTCAGGGACTCAAAACTGGCTGTCAGGATCAAGGGGGTCAACTCCTCCACCCCACCTGGATGCTGAGGACTGTGCTGGAGGTGGCTTTGTGAGAGGGCGGTTGACCAAAAGACCAGTGTGCCCAAGTGTCCACGGAAATAGTGCCCATCCTCAGAGCCATCCCCCCCCAGAAGCAAAGAGCGACAGGACGCCATGAAGGGGCTGTTCAGGGGACCAGACTGGTCTGTGCTACTGGCCACCCGTGTTCCATCCACATACAGGGCCATGCGCTGTCCGTCGTAAGTGGCTGCCACGTGTGTCCATGTGCCTGGTTGGTAGCGACTGTGGCCAGTGACAGTGGTGGCTTTCTTCACGCGGTCAGTGCGGAGAGAGAAAAAGAAGCGAGCGTCTCGCCTTCCCTTGTCCTTTCCTGAGCGGATCCCCAGGGCCCAGCCCTTGTCACTGACAGTGTGGGAGCAGTTATCAAACACACCTGGGAAAAAAGGAGGAGTCGAGGGGAGAAATACCAGATACAAAGGGGATGGAGAAAGGGAGAAGAAAACCTGTGTAAATAGCAGGAACGTAGGGTTTTAATTGGAAAAAAAAAAAAGTGATATAGATTCCCCACCTCAGATGCCTCTTCATACCCCCATATCAGGCTGTTCTGGCAGCTTCTATTCTCAAAAGGAACCTCATTTGAGATTCCACCAATTTAATTCATTCTGGTATTTTTAAATAACCAAAATGGAAGCTGAAAAGCAGAGATCCAATGCACAAGACACATCCTCTAGCACTCCATCACGAACATTCTTCACGCTAACCCACTCTGAGTCCGTGCCTTCCCTCCCTGGTCCTGGATCCTTTACATTTCCTCAGAAGCCATGAGGACAGTCATAGTTTTAGCAAATAACCGTAATCTCCTCTCTCAAAGGTCATTTTTCTCCAATGAACATGAAGGTGATGATTTTCGTAGGAAAACAAGGAGTCAGTGAATCAGGGAGAGTCTCTCGCAGAAGACAAACATCCTTGACATGGCTCCCTGCCCACTATTCCCTCTCCTACCTCTCCAGGGACGAGGACACCCAGCCACAGAATACAGTTGTTCCCCAAAGCAAGGCAAAAGGCACTGCCCCATGCTACCAGCCTGGGCAACTAGTCAACCAGTTATGAGAAGGACTGTTCTATACCCAATAGTGCCCACCCCAGCACAGAAGCGGAACTTTCCCAAGTAAATGAAGGTCCCCGCCGTGCACTCCCTCCCCACCTACTCAGAGCAGGCACAGGACTGTTAAATCCAATTGAGTAAACAAAGGAGGGAACACCTGTGGATAAATAGCTCATTAATAAGTTGGTGGCAGGAAGGGGTTGTAGGGTCAGATGTGACATGAGCACAGATGAAAGAAAACCCTAGGCAGTTTGGAGCCCTTGAATGTTCCCAGTAGCCATCTTCAGTTGACGCATCCCCTCCTACCTGCCTCTTCTCGTATGTAAAGTCTCGGGAGCAGCTTTTACTTACAAATTACATGGAGACAGTATATTTACACAAGAAATGCTTAAACAATATTGCTTGAACTGATAAATGCATGATGAAGCCATCTGCTAGTCTTTGGTTCAGATGCCTGGGGTTGACATCAAGAGTCGTTCTCCCCAAGCCTGTTAAACAGAATTTTATTTATTCCTTCACCTCCTGTATGATCCAACCCAATAGCACTTCTCTATGGACCATATAGATTTATAAACCATGAGGCCTCCCGTTCTGATGGCAGGCAAGTGTTTTAAAGGTGGCTGTTTTCATCAATGATAGAATATGTTCTCTTCTGTCTCTAGTATAAATTAATATCTTGTGATTTAAAAAGCAGAAGTTCTTTTTAACAGAAAGAGCTCATTCCCAGCCCAGTAATTCTACTAATTATACTTTGAAGTACTGGTGATGACTCGTTACAAAACGTCCCAGTTTTGTGTTTTCTTTTTTTTTTTGTTTTTACACCCAGGTCGATCTGCTAAAGGAGCATAAGAAATATTACTTTACAAATTCTTGTATTGGATGGATTTTCAAAAAAGCAGACAAATCTAGTATGCCCTGATTGATATTTTCTCCTTGTTTCACTTATTTTAATAAGTACTATTTTTCCTTAATTACATCGGTTTGCTGACCTATGAACAAATGTACTGCAATATTTACTATCAGAACTGTGGAGTTTCTAATCTGTCAGCTATCTACTGGTTTTTAAAAGAAAGAATTGAGGAGTCTATTTTATATTTGTTGACTACATACGGTATGTCTATAAGTTGGAGTATAAATTATGAGGCTTGACATATAAATTATCAGATAATTGACTTGATTAACTGCCAGGCATCTAATTGCAATCCTGAACACTTTAATTTACTGTCCTTAGAACTTCTACTATCAATAAAATAATTGTTTCTACTTACTTGTCTCATAGGAAGCTATAAAGTTATTGATGGTGCCTAGAATGATATTTCTAACTTCCTGAGACATAACTTAGAAGATGGAATTTTCTTATCATACTAGTCTAGTCCTGATTAATTTCTAGTAATTATATCAAAAAGGATTTATTGCCCAAGAGTACTAAAGTAATATATTTTAGTTGGGAGATAGAGCAAATAAATGGAAGTCCTCATATTATTTTTTGAATAATTACCAAAACAATGATTCTCTGCTCTCTAATTTATTAAGATGTTCAAGCAGCATGTGAGAAACTTCATTTAGTGCTTAGATAACTGCATTTTATGTGCTGTATTACCATTGTACATACTTCATCTATAAGATGAGAGAATAAATATGTGTTAAAGCATTTCCCTTCACTCCTTCCAGCTAAAAAAGCATATTTAACAAATAGAATCTTCTAACGCGACGTCATCACACCTACTTGTGGATTAGAATCACATGTGGAGCTTTCACAAATACAGATTTTTGTGAAACCATATTGAGAGCTGCTGATATCCCAAATTTACAAAAAGAAATCCAGTTTCTCCCTGGTGTTCCACAGATGAAAATGCAGAAGACAGAAGTTGACAGTCTTAGTATACTCCAACCAGCGAAGAAAAATTAGTAAGATTGTTGTCAATGGTAAGTTAAACCAGACACAAAGTGGAAGGCTCATCTGAAAATCTTTTAAATCATTTGTTTAAAAATCATATCAGATCAGGCATCTTAGGTTTGTCGGCTTCTATGCAACTGTAGTACATATTTGTTAATTCAGCAAACTAATGGAATGAGAAGTAGCTCAAAGAAACAAGGGCCTGTTATGAATAAGTGCACAGAATGAATTAGCTCACCCACGCACTTGTTCAGTAGATATATATGAGGCAATACTAGCGGCCAATCTCAGTACTTGGTGCGGGGGATTCTATAGTGATAAAATGGTTATTTGACATCAGTGGAGAGTTGTTAGTACAGTGCAGAAGATTAACCTGAAATAAATAACTACAACGAAATATGCTGACTGCTGAAAGTGTAAACAGGTATGGGAATAGTAAAAGGACCTCTTTATTAAAAAATAGACATAACAAATCAAAAATTCTCCCTAAAGTCACCAAATTTCAACTTTCCAGCTCGGACCTGTCTTGTTAATAATTGGATTCGTATAAGGCATTCGCCATTCATAGCACTGCCTTTTTTACAAGACTGTCTGAGAAGGCTAGGGAGACCCAAAGCCAATGAATTCCAAGAGATAAATTTAGACATTGCCAGATAAAGGTCCTGCCAGTTCACCCAAAAATATTCACTGTAAGATTCCTTAGAACCTACATTTATACAAAATATCCACTTCAGCTGAATCTTCTGAACTGGGATGCTCTTTTTGTGACCATCTTTCCCTAGCATGTAATGATATCTCCCATCTATATAGTACTTGGGCTTTCCAAATCAATCTTATATATACTATCATTTAAGCAGTAAAACCACATGAGCTCAACAGCATTATTGTCACTACCTTCACTTTATAGATGAGGCTCTGAGAGATCAGGTGTCAGGCTGGGTGTAGAGAGTACACTAGCACCAGGATGTCATGATTTTGAGCCCAGAAAGCTTTCTACCACATCTATGCTGGGGAAGACCATAGCATATGGTGGTTACGAGCATGAGTCAGCCAGAGATTTCAGTCCCCAGTCTACTACTTACATGCTATGTGACCCTGAAAAAATTACATCATTTTGCTGAGTCCCAGTTTCCTCATCCACAAGTTGTACCTGTGAAATAAAGTCTGCGCATCTTCAGCATTCTTCAAAAAGCAGCCGAGGTCACAGAATTAGCTCATAAGGTTTTTGTGAGAATTAAAGAAAAGAACACGTGAAGGATCTTAGCACAGAGCCTAATGCGTATAAAGTGACTAATAAACATTAGCTGGGATGATGACTTTTATGATGAAGTATCAAAGGGGAGAACAAATTAGATATAAAACCAGTGATATGCTCTTAAATGTTTAACAACCCTGAAGGGGGGGGGGGACAAAAAAAACAAGATTGGTAGCATTTACCAATTTCTTTGGTGTAAATTACTCCCACAATGGCCAATTTCAAGTTACCAATATGATGTCACTTATCATGGAGTTGGGAAGAGCTGTGTGCAATTGGCTCTGGCAAGCTAGGGCGAGCCGGTTCCAGCACTGTAAAGACTAAAAAAGAAAGCACACAAAGCTGCCAAGTGCCTCCTTTTCCCTCTGAATATTAAAGTAGACGTAGCTGCTTTGCAGATGATATGATTTTTTGTGATTTAAAAGGAGTAAATATTGCCTCCACTCTAGGCTTTGAGCGGATGTCTACCTGATGACCCAGTGACCACCAGCCCCTGTGAAATAAAATCTGTCTATCCCAGGTCTCTGCATCCTATCACTACAAGCTGGGATCACAGAGCAGACTGCACAGCTCTCCACAAACTCTCAGAAGGGACCCCAGAACTCCTTCCTTGACCCCATTAAGCAACAGCAAGATGGACTTTGTTTCAAAAGAAAAATTACAGATTTCCCATATTTAGGAAACTTCTCTTTCTTCTCTGTATAGCAGAGTAAAGGCTGACAAAACCAACACAGTCTAAGCCAACACAATATATGCAGTGAAACTCTAAGCTTATGCAACATTGAGATTTTATAATTTTAAATGTACGCGTGATAGAAGCAAACACGTTATAACTATTGTTTATTCATCAAAGCCACATTCTTGGAAATAACACAGGGACAAGATCATGAATATGATTTATGAAATCACTCAACACCAGACTGAACCATGATAGCCCATGAGTTAGAAAAATCAGATCAAATGATGTAACTCAGAAGATGGTGGTGGAGTGGAAGCCAAACATTTGGATCACATCGTCGTAAGAATCATTTTTCCAGCTCTTTCTTGCAACTGGCTTCTGTTATATATCAATGCTTACTAAATTTAAAATTGTTCAAACACCTCACCTGGTATTTAATCTGAGTTCTGAGAGAAAGAAAAGTAAATTGAGGGAGTATATTTTCTTTATTGTATTCCTGCTCTCAGCTCCAAGAATCTTATTTAGAGACCATGTGTATCTTAATAGAGCAACAAACTCATGTGTTAAGTTCAACAAAAATCATTTGCATCCAGTTCTGTACTATTATTAATTATCAGCATTTGCAATTAATAGAGTAAATTACCTTCAAGGATGTAGGCCTCCTTTCAAACTGGAAGACAGTCTCCCAGAGTGATTATAAAAAAAATTCTAATAAAGCAGTGAACACCATAGCTACAGGTACAAACAACTATTTAAGGGGCTCCTGCAGAGGAATAATCCTTCTTTCCATTTCTTGGTTTCTTTCTTTGCATTCAGGAGATCTGCTGCTTATGTCAAGAAGAAATAAGAAGATTTTAACTACCTATCATTAAATGTATGAGCTCAGTTTTAGTATCTCCCCTTACAGACCAAAAATCTGAAGCTAGGGAAGTTGAGCAAGTCATCTACAGTCTCACATCCAGCAAATGCCAGAGACAGGGATCAAAACCAAGTCTATTCAACCAAAAAACCCATGCTGTTTCCACCACACTAAAATATTTCAAATACTAAAAAAAATATTAATCCTCAGTTGTTGTTTTGGGGCAAGAAGAGTGACATGGGCTGGTGAGTGTGGCACTCGAAAATTTGCAGACCACTATATGAAGACAACTGGGATCTGACACACAAAAAAGTACAGACTCACAGCTACACCTGGAAATAATTTGGAAGAGAAGAAAATGGCTGGCACAGCCATTTTACTTCTCCCTGTTGGGCAGCACCTAAATTGACAGGCTGTCATGCTGAACATTTGGTAAAATTTCTGGGGAGCCCCGCGGGGTTCTCTGTGACACACAACTCTCAGTAGTCAATTCTAGAGGACTATGAGGCAAAGAGGGGGGGCTTCTTATCCTAAAGCCAGGACTAAAACCAAAGGTTGGAGAAGGTGGAGGGAAGTTACATGAAGAGCAAACACTGAGAACTCGCTTCTAAGCCAGTGGCTTCCATCTTCATGTCTTTTTCCTTGGTTTCCCCACTAGGTGTGTAACTGGCAGAGTAGGAATCTGTATTTGAAGAGAACATGATAAAAAAAAAGAGAAATGAGATGATCCCTCTAGGAGCTGCTCCCACCTCTCAACTGCTCCTGTCAAACTGCTGTGACCACTCAGCCCCTTCTCTACCAGAAATGTCCCCTCTCCCCTTTTGGAATTTTTTGTCAGTGGGTTTTGATGGAATAGAGTGTCTGGACCATAAGACCAGCTAGAGAGAGTGATGCTTCAACTGTGCTCCTAGCACCATAATGCAAAGGAAAAGTATCCAGCTCCAGGAGTTATAAAAACCAGTTAAGAAGGGAGGCAAAAAAATCTTCTGAGAACCATCAGGAATCCACCTGTCTTTGGCATTCTTATTTTATGGTAATAACAAAAGAGTAATAGTATCATCTCATACCCTTTTCTTCCTCAAAGCAGAGGAGTATCAGGAAAATTATGCCCACTTATCTCAGAGTGTTCAAATAAATAGAAAGGCCAAAAATGTCCTTTTCTGAGAGGCTATATAGGCTCACTGTTAAGGAAGACTCACTGGGACTTCATTTCCTTATATCTCCTCAATTAAAATCCTCCTGTCTAGTTAACATATCATTTTCCTAACGCCAGCATTCCAAGTAGAGCCCAGCTCCAGAAATGATATCATATCTCTCCCTTTGTCTGAAATATCTCCCATCTATGGTTACACCCTTCAAAAATTACCTTAAGCTTCATATTGTCCAGGAAGTCCTCCTTGACTGCTCTAGTCAAAATGCTTTTCTGTTGCAGCTTGCTAAGCCTTGTTGTACTGCTAATATACTTTTTGTTTTACTCATCCAAGTAACTTGAGAGTTCCTTGATGACAAGAGACTATCTTAGACATTTGTGAATTTCCCACAGGGCCAAGAATGGATGAGTTTAGTTCCTGCATTGCCCACTCTGCTCCTGAAGTCAAACTGAGTCACAAAAGTCTTGACCCAGAGAAAGAGCATTTTCCACCAG